TTTTTGTAATCGAGTTACTCAAGGAATCATTGCAGCCCTAATAGATAATGAGGCTAATGTCCAGTAAAAATGACGTGAAATTTTAGGTAGTGACGGGTGGATGATAGCTTATTGAAGCATTCTTAATATTTGTGCTGCAGCACAGTGACTTCTGGTGGTTTGTTGAACTTACAGCCGCCCTTCAAGAATGGAGCTGAACAGTTTTTGTCCAGCAACCAAATATTATTACTTGATTATCAGGTGTAAATGTTCTGTATATTTTCTCTTTTTATTCTACGGTGCCTATCACATAGGTTAGTTACAAAATTTTAACCGCTTTGGACGTAGTTAATCATGCGGTACTATTCATGTGACACAAGCTGTGACAGTTAACAGGCTTCTTCACAGGAGTGAAACAAGCTTCTGAGCTTCAACATCATCTGGCCATTTAGTTTGTAAGTTAAGTTAATTTAAGTTAAGTGTTTTTTTATTGAAACACTGCCAAATAACTTGTTGACAGCAAGATCTGTGGATTATTATGATGTGTAATTTGTCTAACCCACTGCATGTTTAAGTTGACACTGTATGTTTGTGATTTGTACTATTTGAGTTGTTTTAATGACATTTTTAAGTTTAAATGTTACAAAACGCAACTCAACTGAAATTTTAGACAAAGTGTGGATGGTGATGAGACTATTCCAGGAACACCTAAAAACAACAAATAAAGTTTTGAATCTTGTGAAACCCCTTTGAGGTTTTCAAATATGTAATTGGAAGTAGCTTTTTAGAGTCACAGCTGCATTTTTTTCCATCTCTTGTATCTTTTCTCAGTCAATTACATGAAATACCATAAAACTTCAATTAAACACTGAGTCCCTTTTTACTAAAGGGGTTATGGCTACCCATTTTGACAACTAACTAGGTCTCAAACACCAGGTTTGGTTTTCATAGAAGTTGGATCGACAAAACCTCAACTGTTTCTAAGCTGCTTAGAGAGATAGAAAAGTAAAAAACTAAATGTCAAAACGGACATGCTACACTTCGGTTAGATTTTCCTCAATTCAATCATTGAGTTTATTTTACGGAAACCATGAGGACCAAAGTATAATTCATTCAGATTTACTGGCATGGTAATCAAAAAGCTTTAGTCCATAAGATTTTTACCCTTTTTCCTTCGGCTTTCATCCTTTCTAAGGTAGGCTACCGGTATACCAGGACACCCCTAAATAACTAATTTGATAGTATTACCCATCTTTGCTTTGCAAGAGTTTAAAAAAAAAAAAGAACTCAATGCCTGTCCCATATAGATACCTGTGTAAAATATAGGCAGGTTGAGTTCAGTGATTGAAGCAAACAGAAGCCTGGGCTATTAATTTAAGTTTTATGGTACACTTACAAAACTGCTATGAATATGACTGTATTGTATACAGTATATTGTATGTATGTATGTATGTATGTGTATGTATGTATGTAGTATTGATCTGTGACAATGGAGGATGAAAACATGTCACCAAATACATGAAAACACACTGTAAAATAAACAAATGAGTGAATTTATAAACTCAAAGAAATAAAGGTTTGAATGTGTAAATAACTGAAGACACTAATAATTGCTAAATGACCAGAAAGCAATTAACAGTCAGCCAGTCAGGATGCTTTTAACCATCAGCCCATAAAGGAAAGATTTTAATGATTTTGATTCCACAAATGTCTGTTTTCATCCTGTTTGAGCTAGTGTACAGTGTGTGATTATACATAAAAATCATTTGTATGATCTGCCAACAGTGTGTGGTGTCTAGTGATGAGTATGTAAGTACAAGATAAATAATTGTTTGCTATCTGATCTGCTGGTTGTTCCCTTTAAGATTATATAAATATTTTTTGTTTTTTAACAATTTAAGGTCTATGGTTTCCCATCCAAATGTAGTGTTTGCAAAGCATACCTTGTCTTTGAATTTATATTTTAGAACAGGCTATATCTGAAATTACATCTATATTTACTATGTAGTCCACGCTATTTACTCTCCCCTATTGTATTTGAGTCTGAATTCTGAAATCTATGTTCCATATAGTGCCATCCAAAGGTTCCAACAGTGGAACAAAAAATTATAGTTTCAATGGCATAGATATATCTGCAGAAAGGATTTTCATGATGTGGCCACAGACTATAGCAAAAAATGGGCCAATAAACACACAAAGTAGAGAAGAAAAAGTGTGGGTTGGATACTGTGTATCACAGTCACAGTCTATGTGTTTGCATTGCATTTACTGCACTAATGCCTGTTGATGCTTGTTGTGTCGACCAAATTGACAAAGACGAAAGCTTAAAACATATGTTTATTTTTGTTTTACTAGTTTGGAATAACACAACATGACTCCACTTTCAAAATGGCAGCAGGATATATATTAAGTACTCTAAATAATAATTTAAGAAGTAGGCTATAAAATTATATCCATATTTCTTTAAAAAAGTCTATGTCCTAGAGGTTTGCTTTATATGGAAAAAAGAAACAACCAAAAAAAATGTTGAGCTCATTCCAGACACAGAACTTAAAATGATACATTTGGTAACAATTGACTATGAACCATGTCATGACAAATACATGTTTTGAAGATGTCTAATGAAGTGTGATGTAGGTCTAATTAAAGGAGCAGTGCCAAATGGCCCTCATACAGGCCTTGTCCAAATCATTATCCTTTTAAAAAGGAAGCAATTGAAGGTATTAAACTTTAAAATATTTTTGAATCTCTCCTAAAAGCTGGAGTGATTGCTCCATGTATAAAAATCTCCTGCTCAGTCACCAATTTTTTCTTGTCATAAAGATCAGAGATGCTGGCCAGCCCGAGAAGGTGATATTTGTTCAGGATTTGCAAGCAGTAAATGCTGCAATCCGTGCACATGCACCAAATGTTCCAAATCCACACACAATGCTTCTCTAAAGTTCTGACAGTAAATGTTTTTTGTTGTTGATTTGGCTATTGCATTTCTCCTGCATCCCATTCGACCCCGATGGTCAGTAGTGGTTTGTATTCTCCTTCCAAGGCAAGATGTTTACCTGTAGCCATTTATGACATTTTTAATGCAGCATTAAAGAAAAAAATTTAAATGACATCCTAGTGCAGACAGTGGATCTCAAGTTATGCTGAAATTTAGGCCCCATTGATAACAATTGATCATGGGAAAGGCATCGCTGCAAAATACAAAGTCCAATAGACACTGGAAGCTTAGAAAGCTTTTGTTGACTTAAAGCTTGCTCTACAGACTCCTCCAACATAGGCCAACTAGACTGTAACAAGACATTCACACAGACTGTTGAAAAACAGGGGTTAGATGACCTTAGAACTAATCCAGGACCATTGGGGACAACAAAGAGGTAGAGGTTTGGGATACCCTACCTCTTAACAAAACTTGATTCTGTAGCAGCAAGACCTCGCAATTACCTTAGAGCAATGGCAGCTGCAGAAAAGGCTGTGATAGCAACATGTGACATTATAGGTTACAGTGACCTGACTTTACTGGTTCAATGTTACCTACCTGGTTACATGTAGTGTCAATTATTCTGCTTAACCAAAAACATTTTCAAAAGCAAGGTGGCTTAAATACAGCACTGTTTTGTTTGACATGCCAAACATCATAGTTAAAAGATGTATTGTCATTAATTCTGCTATTCTTTTCCCAACTCCAGGTGATGGACAGCTGCATGAATGTGTTGCAGTAATAACTAAACCTTGCTCTCCCAGGCCAGAGTTCCAAGATACACCTTTGACCAATGTCTGGAACTGTTGGTGGACAGCTCAGGAGACATGAGTGGGGCATAATTTTGGCTGTCTTTTGGCAACAGAAAATTCCTAATATCCACAAGTAAACCTATTGCTCATCACACCCTTGTTGCTAACACTAACAACCTTGTTTCTATCTCACAGCTCAATGTGTTGCTTTGACGAACAATAAAGCAACTCCAGAGTAAAAGGCTGCATGGAAGAAAGCTGATTTTTCATGCACTAACTTAGTGTAGCAAGGGCCATTTGGCAAGCCCTGCCTACCAAAATATCTATTGCCCTACTATGCTAGGTGGAAACATAGGAAAGACAATGTGTCAGAAGGGGGTATGGTGAGGGAAATACAGAGGTATTGATACACAAAGAGATTCTCTAATTTCTCCCATAAATTTAGTCAAAGCAGTATTATTTGTGTATGTCTAACTCAATGATCCTGGAAAGAAAGATGGCGCCCCTGTGTTTGGC